TGATTAGAAAGTATTAGTAAGCAAAGTTGGTGCCTATGTTATTATTTAATAATCAACCCCCAGCTCAGTCTTTAAATGCTCTTTGAGAAACAATAATAGTCTTACGTCTGGCAGGGAAGATACAAACAAATGCCGCTCGCGATGCACTCAACTGTACTACCAGAAAGTTTAATAGCTCAATTTTGACCTCTGGTTTCCACTGGAGAACCCAGGGTCGTAACATGATTTGATTTACTACATTTGAAGTATATTGTTACGAACCTTACCTCCTGTGGAGGTGGGTTTAGGATGTAAAATGTTGGTGGACACAGGGAGAGTGTATATTAGTATAAATCCCCAGCTGAGATCAAAGAGGCCGCGAGTCATCATTATTACTCCGCCCAGTAAAGTAGTGCCTTCTCAGCTGGAGATCATCAGAAATAATGTGAACTTGAATAGCTTTACCATATAAAGGAAAAATGGACTCTATAAAAATGTATGCATGGGGGAATACAGTAAATAAAATCATTAATGTGTTTGATAGCATATGTAAAGAGTAGAGTATTAAGGGGCGATGAGGCAAGAGAGGGGGACGCCATCTTGACTGAAGGGGGGAGGTGTATCGCTGCCGACCGTTCCTGCTATTTGAGGGGTTTTCTCCGGCCGTTCAGTCAGATAAGCCTATCCTTGTATATAACCAGGGTTGCAAGATTGGGTAGAGTAATATTGCAGAAGTTGGAGAGGTTTTATAAGAGTCCAGGTTTCCTAGAGGCAAAAATATATGAGTCGTTGGATGATAGCGGTTTGTGGCTGGGTGCATGACACCAGGAATGGGACAGTGAGCCGTGGGGTGATCAGAGCCACTTGAGTTATAATACATAGTGGTCTTATGTTGTAAGGAAAACGCCTTGTTAAATGTAATCCTGTGACTTGTACGTATAAATTTGTGACGCTTACTAGGCTGTTTCCCTTACCCCTCATACACCCTAGACAACCTTGTAAGGACTACCACCACCAAGCTCTCACTAGCTCTCTATGACAACAAAAACGTATCACAGCTGGTAACATCAGTAACACACCCCCGTGATATATATCTACTTCAAATTTCGGGAAAATTGGTCAGTTACTAAATAAATTATACAAAGAAACTAAGTGGGGGACAAGAGCTAGAGTTTGATAATTGTTTGGATCCTATTTACTATGTATGAAATAACTATGGTAAAAATTTTAGAAAAATTGATGGGTTATTAACGAAGATACGAGAGAGAGAGCTAAGTCGGAGGACAGGAGCTGGAGCTTGCTTAATGAATTGATAAGATTTACTACGTCTGAATTTTTTTTTCTGGGGGGATTGGACTGTTAGTATTAAATATACAACAGGGGACTAAGGCTGGGACAGGAGCTAGCGCTAGACCTTGATTACTGACTCGGTTGATTTGTGTAAAACTGACTCGTTTAATGTAAAGGAACAAAAAATTACGGTGTCTAAAATAGCTGTACGAAATTATGATTGAATAATATAAAAGATAATGAAGAAGGAAAGGGGGTAAGGTAACAGGTAGAGGGGGGAAGGGACGGTCCAGATATTACGGAGACACTAAGATAAGATTACGGAGGTGACTTGCAGGCGGCGTCTGGCTGGAGTGAGGTCGGAACAGGTAACGCTGGGGGTTGGGAGGGAAGGGGGAGGGAGGGGGTTTGAGGTGGGAACAGGCGACGCAGGGGTAGGGAGGGAAGGGGAGGGGGATGACTGGGTAATGCTACAGTTTTAGTTTTATAGACATGTACTACTTTCGATATAAGAATTTCTACTCTAACGTATACGGTCTAAAATATCTGTTTATTCTTGGTATGAACTCTGCGTACCAGTGGTACCGCCTGCCAGTGGTGCCGCCTACCATTGGTGCCGCTCACTAGTGGTGCCGTCCACCAGTGGTTCCGCCTGCCAGTGGTGCCGCCTACCATTGGTGCCGCTCACTAGTGGTGCCGCCCACCAGTGGTTCCGCATGCCAGTGGTGCCGCCTGCCAGTGATGCCGCCTGCCAGTGATGCCGCCTGCCAGTGGTGCCGTCCACTAGTGGTGCAGCCCGCCAGTGGTGCCGCCAGCCAGTGGTGCCGCCTGCCAGTGCTGCCGCCCGCCAGTGGTGCAGCCAGCCAGTGGTGCAGCCCGCCAGTGGTGCCGCCCACTTTTGGTGCCATCTGCCAGTGGTGCCGCCAGCCAGTGGTGCAGCCAACTAGTGGTGAAGCCCGCCAGTGGTGCAGCCAACTAGTGGTGAAGCCCGCCAGTGGTGCCGCTCACTTGTGGTGCGGCCCGCCAGTGGTGCCGCCCGCCAGTGATGCCGCCTGCCAGTGGTGCCGGCCACAAGGGGTGCAGCTCGCCAGTGGTGCCGCCCGCCAGTGGTGCCGCCCACTACAGGTGCAGCCCGCCAGTGGCGCCGCCCACTAGTGGTGCAGCCCGCTAGTGGTGCCGCCCCCCAGTGGTGCCGCCCGCCAGTGGAGCAGCCCGCCAGTGGTGCCGCCCGCCAGTGGTGCTGCCCGCCAGTGGAGCAGCCGCCAGTGGTGCCGCCCGCCAGTGGTGCCGCCTGCCAGTGGTACCGCCCGCCAGTGGTACCGCCTGCCAGTGATGCCGCACATCAGTGGTGCCGCCCACTAGTGGTGCAGCTTGCCAGTGGTGCCGCCCGCCAGTGATGTCGCCTGCCGGTGTTGCCGCCCACTAGTGGTGCAGCCCGCCAGTGGTGCCGCCCGCCAGTGGTGCCGCCCGCTAGTGGTGCAGCCCTCCAGTGGTGCCGCCCGCCAGTGGTGCCGCCCGCTAGTGGTGCAGCCCTCCAGTGGTACCTCCCGCCAGTGGTGCCGCCTGCCAGTGGTGCCGCCTGCCAGTGGTGCAGCCCGCCAGTGGAGCCGCCCACTAGTGGTGCAGCCCGCCAGTGGTGCAGCCAGCCATTGGTGCCACTCGCCAGTGGTGCCGCCCGCCAGTGGTGCAGCCCGCCATTGGTGCCGCTTGCCAGTGGTGCCGCCCACTAGTGGTGCAGCCCGCCATTGGTGCCGCTCTCTAGTGGTGCAGTCCGCTAGTGGTGCAGCCCGCCAGTGGTACCTCCCGCCAGTGGTGCCGACTGGCAGTGGTGCAGCCCGCCAGTGGTGCAGCCCGCCAGTGGTGCCGCCCACTAGTGGTGCAGCCCGCCAGTGGTGCCGCCCGCCAGTGGTACCTCTCGCCAGTGGTGCCGACTGGCAGTGGTGCAGCCCGCCAGTGGTGCAGTCCGTCAGTGGTGCCGCCCACTAGTGGTGCAGCCCGCCAGTGGTGCCGCCCGCCAGTGGTACCTCCCGCCAGTGGTGCCGACTGGCAGTGGTGCAGCCCGCCAGTGGTGCAGCCCGCCAGTGGTGCCGCCCAGTAGTGGTGCAGCCCGCCAGTGGTGCAGCCCGCCAGTGGTACCTCCCGCCAGTGGTGCCGACTGGCAGTGGTGCAGCCCGCCAGTGGTGCAGCCCGCCAGGGGTGCCGCCCACTAGTGGTGCAGCCCGACAGTGGTGCCGCCCGCCAGTGGTGCCGCCCGCCAGTGATGCCGCCTGCCAGTGATGCCGCCTGCCAGTGGTGCCGTCCACTAGTGGTGCAGCCAGCCAGTGGTGCCGCCTGCCAGTGCTGCCGCCCGCCAGTGGTGCAGCCAGCCAGTGGTGCAGCCCGCCAGTGGTGCCGCCCACTTTTGTTGCCATCTGCCAGTGGTGCCGCCAGCCAGTGGTGCAGCCAACTAGTGGTGAAGCCCGCCAGTGGTGCCGCTCACTTGTGGTGCGGCCCGCCAGTGGTGCCGCCCGCCAGTGATGCCGCCTGCCAGTGGTGCCGGCCACAAGGGGTGCAGCTCGCCAGTGGTGCCGCCCACTACAGGTGCAGCCCGCCAGTGGCGCCGCCCGCCAGTGGCGCCGCCCACTAATGGTGCAGCCCGCTAGTGGTGCCGCCCCCCAGTGGTGCCGCCCGCCAGTGGAGCAGCCCGCCAGTGGTGCCGCCCGCCAGTGGTGCTGCCCGCCAGTGGAGCAGCCGCCAGTGGTGCCGCCCGCCAGTGGTGCCGCCTGCCAGTGGTACCGCCCGCCAGTGGTACCGCCTGCCAGTGATGCCGCACATCAGTGGTGCCGCCCACTAGTGGTGCAGCTTGCCAGTGGTGCCGCCCGCCAGTGATGTCGCCTGCCGGTGTTGCCGCCCACTAGTGGTGCAGCCCGCCAGTGGTGCCGCCCGCCAGTGGTGCCGCCCGCTAGTGGTGCAGCCCTCCAGTGGTACCTCCCGCCAGTGGTGCCGCCTGCCAGTGGTGCAGCCCGCCAATGGTTCAGCCCGCCAGTGGTGCCGCCCACTAGTGGTGCAGCCCGCCAGTGGTGCAGCCAGCCATTGGTGCCACTCGCCAGTGGTGCCGCCCGCCAGTGGTGCAGCCCGCCATTGGTGCCGCTTGCCAGTGGTGCCGCCCACTAGTGGTGCAGCCCGCCATTGGTGCCGCCCTCTAGTGGTGCAGTCCGCTAGTGGTGCAGCCCGCCAGTGGTACCTCCCGCCAGTGGTGCCGACTGGCAGTGGTGCAGCCCGCCAGTGGTGCAGCCCGCCAGTGGTGCCGCCCACTAGTGGTGCAGCCCGCCAGTGGTGCCGCCCGCCAGTGGTACCTCTCGCCAGTGGTGCCGACTGGCAGTGGTGCAGCCCGCCAGTGGTGCAGTCCGCCAGTGGTGCCGCCCACTAGTGGTGCAGCCTGCCAGTGGTGCCGCCCGCCAGTGGTACCTCCCGCCAGTGGTGCCGACTGGCAGTGGTGCAGCCCACCAGTGGTGCAGCCCGCCAGTGGTGCCGCCCAGTAGTGGTGCAGCCCGCCAGTGGTGCAGCCCGCCAGTGGTGCCGCCCGCCAGTGGTGCCGCCCGCTAGTAGTGCAGCCCGCCAGTGGTACCTCCCGCCAGTGGTGCCGACTGGCAGTGGTGCAGCCCGCCAGTGGTGCAGCCCGCCAGGGGTGCCGCCCACTAGTGGTGCAGCCCGCCAATGGTGCCGCCCGCCAGTGGTGCCGCCCGCCAGTGATGCCGATCACCAGTGGTGCCGCCAACCAGTGGTGCCGCCTGCCAGTGGTGCCGCCTGCCATTGGTGCCGCCCACCAGTGTTGCCGCCTACCAGTGGTGCCGCGAACCAGTGGTGTCGCCCGCAAGTGGTGCCGCCTGCCAGTGATGCCGCCCGCCAGTGGTGCCGCCTGCCAGTGGTGCCACCCGCCGTTGGTGCCCCCTGCCAGTGATGCCGCCCACCAGTGGTGCCGCCTGCCAGTGATGCCGCCCGCCTATGGTGCCGCCTACCAGTGGTGCCGCCCACCATTGATGCCGCCCATTAGTGATGCCGCCCACCAGTGGCCGTCCACCAGTGATGCCGCCTGTCAGTGGTGCAGCTCGCCAGTGGTGCCGCCTGCCATTGGTGCCGCCCACCAGTGGTCTCGCCCACCAGTGGTGTTGCCCGCAAGTGGTGCCGCCGGCAAGTGATGCCGCCTGCCAGTGGTGCCGCGCGCCATTGGTGCCGCCCGCCAGTGGTGCCGCCCGCCAGTGGTGCCGCCTGCCAGTGGTGCCGCGCGCCACTGATGCCGTCCGCCAGTGGTGTCGCCCGCCAGTGGTGCGCCCGCCAGTGGTTCCGCCTGCCTGTGGTGCCGCCCACCAGTGGTGCCGCCTATCAGTGGTGTCGCCCGCCAGTGGTGTCGCTCGCAATTGGAACCGCCCACCAGTGGTGCCGCCCGCAATTGAAGCCGCCCACCAGTGGTGCCACCCACCAGTGCTGCCGCCCAACAGTGGTGCCGCACGCTAGTGGTTTCACCCACCAGTGGTGCCGCTCGCCAGTGGTGCTGCCCACCAGTGATGCCGCCCGCCAGTGGTGCCGCCCTCCAGTGGTGTCGCCCACCAGTTTTGTTGTCCGCAAGTGGTGCCGCCTGCAAGTGATGCTGCCCACCAGTGATGCCGCCCGCCAGTGGTGCCGCCCAGCAGTGGTGCCGCCTGCCAGTAAAGCCGCGCACCAGTGGTGCCACACACCAGTGGTGCCACCTGCAAGTGGTGCCGCCTGCCATTGGTGCCGCCTGCCATTGGTGCCGCCCTCCAGTGGTGTCGCCCACCAGTTTTGTTGCCCGCAAGTGGTGCCGCCCGCCAGTGGTGCCGCCCGCCAGTGGTGCCGCCCGCCAGTGTAGCAGCCGCCAGTGGTGCCGCCCGCCAGTGGTGCCGCCCGCCAGTGGTGCCGCCTGCCAGTGGTACCGCCTGCCAGTGATGCCGCACATCAGTGGTGCCGCCCACTAGTGGTGCAGCTTGCCAGTGGTGCCGCCCGCCAGTGATGCCGCCTGCCGGTGTTGCCGCCCACTAGTGGTGCAGCCCGCCAGTGGTGCAGCCCGCCAGTGGTGCCGCCCACTAGTGGTGCAGCCCGCCATTGGTGCCGCCCACTAGTCGTGCAGCCCGCCATTGGTGCCGCTTGCCAATGGTGCCGCCCTCTAGTGGTGCAGTCCGCTAGTGGTGCAGCCCGCCAGTGGTACCTCCCGCCAGTGGTGCCGACTGGCAGTGGTGCAGCCCGCCAGTGGTGCAGCCCGCCAGTGGTGCCGCCCACTAGTGGTGCAGCCCGCCAGTGGTGCCGCCCGCCAGTGGTACCTCCCGCCAGTGGTGCCGACTGGCAGTGGTGCAGCCCGCCAGTGGTGCAGCCCGCCAGTGGTGCCGCCCACTAGTGGTGCAGCCCGCCAGTGGTACCACCCGCCAGTGGTGCCGCCCGCTAGTGGTGCAGCCCGCCAGTGGTACCTCCCGCCAGTGGTGCCGACTGGCAGTGGTGCAGCCCGCCAGTGGTGCAGCCCGCCAGGGGTGCCGCCCACTAGTGGTGCAGCCCGCCAGTGGTGCCGCCCGCCAGTGGTGCCGCCCGCCAGTGATGCCGATCACCAGTGGTGCCGCCAACCAGTGGTGCCCCCCAACAGTGGTGCCGCCTGCCAGTGGTGCCGCCTGCCAGTGGTGCCGCCTGCCATTGGTGCCGCCCACCAGTGTTGCCGCCTACCAGTGGTGCCGCGAACCAGTGGTGTCGCCCGCAAGTGGTGCCGCCTGCCAGTGATGCCGCCCGCCAGTGGTGCCGCCTGCCAGTGGTGCCACCCGCCGTTGGTGCCCCCTGCCAGTGATGCCGCCCACCAGTGGTGCCGCCTGCCAGTGATGCCGCCCGCCTATGGTGCCGCCTACCAGTGGTGCCGCTCACCATTGATGCCGCCCATTAGTGATGCCGCCCACCAGTGGCCGTCCACCAGTGGTGCCGCCCACCTGTGGTGCCGCCCACCTGTGGTGCCACCCACCAGTTGTGCCGCCCACCAGTGATGCCGCCTGCCAGTGGTGCAGCTCGCCAGTGGTGCCGCCTGCCATTGGTGCCGCCCACCAGTGGTCTCGCCCACCAGTGGTGTTGCCCGCAAGTGGTGCCGCCGGCAAGTGATGCCGCCTGCCAGTGGTGCCGCGCGCCATTGGTGCCGCCCGCCAGTGGTGCCGCCCGCCAGTGGTGCCGCCTGCCAGTGGTGCCGCGCGCCATTGATGCCGTCCGCCAGTGGTGTCGCCCGCCAGTGGTGTCGCCCGCCAGTGGTTCCGCCTGCCTGTGGTGCCGCCCACCAGTGGTGCCGCCTACCAGTGGTGTCGCCCGCCAGTGGTGTCGCTCGCAATTGGAACCGCCCACCAGTGGTGCCGCCCGCAATTGAAGCCGCCCACCAGTGGTGCCACCCACCAGTGCTGCCGCCCACCAGTGGTGCCGCACGCTAGTGGTTTCACCCACCAGTGGTGCCGCTCGCCAGTGGTGCTGCCCACCAGTGATGCCGCCCGCCAGTGGTGCCGCCCTCCAGTGGTGTCGCCCACCAGTTTTGTTGCCCGCAAGTGGTGCCGCCTGCAAGTGATGCTGCATACCAGTGATGCCGCCCGCCAGTGGTGCCGCCCAGCAGTGGTGCCGCCTGCCAATAAAGCCGCGCACCAGTGGTGCCACACACCAGTGGTGCCGCCTGCAAGTGGTGCCGCCTGCCATTGGTGCCGCCCGCCAGTGGTGCCGCCTGCCAGTGGTACCGCCCGCCAGTGGTACCGCCTGCCAGTGATGCCGCACATCAGTGGTGCCGCCCACTAGTGGTGCAGCTTGCCAGTGGTGCCGCCCGCCAGTGATGCCGCCTGCCGGTGTTGCCGCCCACTAGTGGTGCAGCCCGCCAGTGGTGCCGCCCTCCAGTGGTGCCGCCCGCTAGTGGTGCAGCCCTCCAGTGGTACCTCCCGCCAGTGGTGCCGCCTGCCAGTGGTGCAGCCCGCCAGTGGTGGAGCCCGCCAATGGTGCAGCCCGCCAGTGGTGCCGCCCACTAGTGGTGCAGCCCGCCAGTGGTGCAGCCAGCCATTGGTGCCACTCGCCAGTGGTGCCGCCCGCCAGTGGTGCAGCCTGCCATTGGTGCCGCTTGCCAGTGGTGCCGCCCACTAGTGGTGCAGCCCGCCATTGGTGCCGCTTGCCAATGGTGCCGCCCTCTAGTGGTGCAGTCCGCTAGTGGTGCAGCCCGCCAGTGGTACCTCCCGCCAGTGGTGCCGACTGGCAGTGGTGCAGCCCGCCAGTGGTGCAGCCCGCCAGTGGTGCCGCCCACTAGTGGTGCAGCTGCCAGTGGTGCCGCCCGCCAGTGGTTCCTCCCGCCAGTGGTGCCGACTGGCAGTGGTGCAGCCCGCCAGTGGTGCAGCCCGCCAGTGGTGCCGCCCACTAGTGGTGCAGCCCGCCAGTGGTGCCGCCCGCCAGTGGTACCTCCCGCTAGTGGTGCCGACTGGCAGTGATGCAGCCCGCCAGTGGTGCAGCCCGCCAGTGGTGCCGCCCACTAGTGGTACAGCCCGCCAGTGGTGCCGCCCGCCAGTGGTACCTCCCGCCAGTGGTGCCGACTGGCAGTGGTACAGCCCGCCAGTGGTGCAGCCTGCCAGTGGTGCCGCCCACTAGTGGTGCAGCCCGCCAGTGGTGCCGCCCGCCAGTGGTGCCGCCCGCTAGTGGTGCAGCCCGCCAGTGGTACCTCCCGCGAGTGGTGCCGACTGGCAGTGGTGCAGCCCGCCAGTGGTGCAGCCCGCCAGGGGTGCCGCCCACTAGTGGTGCGGCCCGCCAGTGGTGCCGCCCGCCAGTGGTGCCGCCCGCCAGTGATGCCGATCACCAGTGGTGCCGCCAACCAGTGGTGCCGCCTGCCAGTGTTGCGGCCTACCAATGGTGCCGCGAACCAGTGGTGTCGCCCGCAAGTGGTGCCGCCTGCCAGTGATGCCGCCCGCCAGTGGTGCCGCCTGCCAGTGGTGCCACCCGCCGTTGGTGCCCCCTGCCAGTGATGCCGCCCACCAGTGGTGCCGCCTGCCAGTGATGCCGCCCGCCTATGGTGCCGCCTACCAGTGGTGCCGCCCACCATTGATGCCGCCCATTAGTGATGTCGCCCACCAGTGGCCGTCCACCAGTGGTGCCGCCCACCTGTGGTGCCGCCCACCAGTTGTGCCGCCCACCAGTGATGCCGCCTGCCATTGGTGCCGCCCACCAGTGGTCTCGCCCACCAGTGGTGTTGCCCGCAAGTGGTGCCGCCTGCAAGTGATGCCGCCTGCCAGTGGTGCCGCGCGCCAGTGGTGCCGCCCGCCAGTGGTACCTCCTGCCAGTGGTGCCGCGCGCCATTGGTGCCGCCCGCCAGTGGTGCCGCCTGCCAGTGTTGCCGCGCGCCAGTGGTGCCGCCCGCCAGTGGTGCCGCCTGCCAGTGGTGCCGCGCGCCATTGTTGCCGCCCGCCAGTGGTGCCGCCTGCCAGTGGTGCCGCGCGCCATTGGTGCCGCCCGCCAGTGGTGCCGCCTGCCAGTGGTGTCGCGCGCCATTGGTGCCGCCCGCCAGTGGTGCCGCCTGCCAGTGGTGCCGCGCGCCATTGGTGCCGCCCGCCAGTGGTGCCGCCTGCCAGTGGTGCCGCGCGCCATTGATGCCGTCCGCCAGTGGTGTCGCCCGCCAGTGGTGTCGCGCGCCAGTGGTTCCGCCTGCCTGTGGTGCCGCCCACCAGTGGTGCCGCCCACCAGTGGTGCCGCCCACCAGTGGTGCCGCCCACCAGTGGTGCCGCCCACCAGTGGTGCCGCCCACCAGTGGTGTCGCCCGCCAGTGGTGTCGCTTGCAATTGGAATCGCCCACCAGTGGTGCCGCCCGCAATTGAAGCCGCCCACCAGTGGTGCCACCCACCAGTGCTGCCGCCCACCAGTGGTGCCGCACGCTAGTGGTTTCACCCACCAGTGCTGCCGCCCACCAGTGGTGCCGCCCGCCAGTGGTGCCGCCCTCCAGTGGTGTCGCCCACCAGTTTTGTTGCCCGCAAGTGGTGCCGCCTGCCAGTGGTGCCGCGCGCCATTGATGCCGTCCGCCACTGATGCCGTCCGCCAGTGGTGTCGCCCGCCAGTGGTTCCGCCTGCCTGTGGTGCCGCCCACCAGTGGTGCCGCCCACCAGTGGTGCCGCCCACCAGTGGTGCCGCCCACCAGTGGTGCCGCCCACCAGTGGTGCCGCCCACCAGTGGTGTCGCCCGCCAGTGGTGTCGCTTGCAATTGGAATCGCCCACCAGTGGTGCCGCCCGCAATTGAAGCCGCCCACCAGTGGTGCCACCCACCAGTGCTGCCGCCCACCAGTGGTGCCGCACGCTAGTGGTTTCACCCACCAGTGCTGCCGCCCACCAGTGGTGCCGCCCGCCAATGGTGTCGCCCACCAGTTTTGTTGCCCGCAAGTGGTGCCGCCTGCAAGTGGTGCCGCCCACCAGTGGTGCCACACACCAGTGGTGACGCCCGCAAGTGGTGCCGCCTGCAAGTGGTGCCGTCCGCCACTGGTGCCACGTCCCGCTATAAGCTTCTAAGCATCACTTGAAGGTAAACTGTGTCATTTCAGTGATTGCAGCTCGCGGCTCTATAGCGCGGGTGACGAAGGTAATCCCAGGAACTGGAAATCTTTCTTGTGAAGAGAGATTAAGAAAGCTTAAACCTGCATTCTCTACAATGACCAAGAGAAAATGGGTGACATGATTGGAATGTACGAATGGATAAAAAGAGTATAACGGAACGAATATTAATACTGTTTTAAACGGATGAACACAAAATAGAACTCGAAACAATGGATATAAACTAGGAAAATTTAAATTCAGGAAAGACCTTGGTAAATACTGGTCTAGAAACAGAATTTTTGACTTACAGGAAAATATAGCACATGTGGGGATCGGTGAATTGTTTGACGCGTCGGTGAGATATAAGTAAGAATGTGTCGGGATGGATGTAATTAGGAGCTGCCTCGTATGGGCCAATAGGCTTTCTGCTCTTTCCTTGATTCTTATGTTGACTATAAAAATTGTGAATTAGGCAGGTATTAACGTCTACGCTGACAGTAATGTCAATCATGAACATTTTTAGGAATGGTAGCTCAATGTGAGGTAACAATCACTTATTTAACAATTAAATCCATTTAAAAAATCACTCTCATGAATCACTGATAACTCAAATTAATAAGTGCTAAAAAATATTATAATTTCACTTAATTCTCCTCCAAACCTGTCATGATCAGAGTGGTAAACAAGTAAACAGTAAGTAAGTAAGTAATTATCAAAGAAGGCACCAAGCTGGGAAGGCTATGTAGCACCATCAGATGTGCGGAATAATCAGAGGGCGCTAAATATCACTGAGGACGCCAATACAAGAACAGAAACGCGTAACGCGAACGATATCAAAAGTATCTGATTTACCAAGAATTCTATCCAGGAAAAAGTGACCGCGGGGGACGGTCAGAATGCAAGAGATGCACTCGTCCTGGAAGTCAGGACATTCAACAAGGATATGCACAACTGAAGAGGGACAATGCAGTTAGGACAATAAGGAGCAGGGCGGCGCTCTGCTCGGCAGAGAGGCAGAGAGTGTGGCACCAAGCCTTACTCGAGAGAGGAAGCTTTGGAGAAAGAGAGGGAGATTACCACGAAGACCTAAAGAACAAAATTGGGACAAAATATGGTATCTCCAGGTTGTGTCATAAGCCTTTTCCAGGTCAAAAAGAACAGCAACAACGGAGGTCTTTGCAGCAAAAACAGTACGAATATAGACTTCCAAGTTCACCAGGACATCAGTCGTGCTATGGCACTTTCGAAAACCAAATTGAGAAGGAGGGAGGTGGTGAGGTGGTAATGGTGTTCCAAGAGCCACATGAGACGAACATTTACCATACGCTCAAAGAGTTTGCGGACACAACTCGTGAGAGCAATAGGGTGAAAGTCCTTAGGGGAGGTCCCGAGAGATCTCAGTTTCCGAATAGGAAGTACAACGGCATCGAGCCAACCTCAGGGACTGACGACGACTCCCAGACCTGGTTATATAGACCCAATAAATACTGAGACGCGCAAGGAGGGAGATGGCAAAGCATCTCATAATGAATGTTATCTGAGCCCGCTGCCATAGAACTGCAGAGGGCCAGGGCAGACTGAAGTTCAGAGAGAAAGAGAAGGGATCGTTAGAGGGAAGGCAGAGATGAGTGTGGAAATCTAAGGGATGGGATTCAAGAACATGCTTATGAAGAAGGAAGGATTGAGGAAGACGAGAACCAAAGCTAACAGAAGAAAAGTGGGAACCCAGTTCGGTCGCGACCTGCACTGGGTCCGCCACCAGAGTACCATGGAGGTGAAGAAATGGCGAGACATCTGGAACTAACTTACCTGCAATCTTGCAGATCTTCTTCCAGATCTGCGGCAGAGGAGTATTGGACATAAAGGTGGATACATAAGATTTCCAACTCTCATGCTTAGCTGTACGGATGGTCCTATGGGCCACAGCTCTTGCTTTCCAAAACAAAATAAACCAGCCGTTCGCCAGCATCAGTGTTTCTTCCAGGATGCACACTTAAAGCAGACAGCCCGAGCACAGTCTGCATTCCACCAGGGAATGCACTTCTGCAAGCCCCAGGAGGTAGAGCGAGGAATAGAACGGAGGGCAGCGTCGAAGATGTGAGAAAACCTGTCGGGATTGACATGAGAGGGGAACTACTAGGGACTTGTACTATACTAAATTAAAATTTACTGTATGCAAAATTAATTCAACTACAGTCTCTAGCTAGGGTCATAAATCCTAGCTCCTCTTTTCCTAGTGACAGACTGTGGGCTGTAAGGGGCAGGAGGGGGTCCCTAAGGATGAATGGAGAAGTTGATTGAAGATGAACAATCCACCTGCAGACAAGTATCTCACATCAGCTTGTATTGTTAATACAAGGATAAGATTTAATAATTCAGTTCTATAACTGAACACTGGTTCTTTTTAAATCAGGGATCTAAACATGTACTTCAGCCTAGCACAATAACTATAACAGCTAATATTCTTATACTAATAAACACAACAATGTATATTGTAGAAATATGATACATATGAATATGCAATCATATGGCCTTAAATGTGGTCAAAGTGCTATTAATTAAGTATAAGAGATTATATTCAATAGGATAAACTTATATGATAACTAAGTAAGCTATTGTTAATTTAATTTATTATCAATTTTATGCAAAATATTCAGTTTGTATGAAGAGATTCAGTCAGGCTTGACTTGACTCTTCCCAGACAAGGGAAACTCTTGAGGCGGTGTTTACCTCACAAGTGTCTGGTCAATGAAAAGAGATTCAGTAACTATTATATTAATGAACTTACTGAAATATGAGGCGTTGCCTCAACCAATAACAACAATCAGACTTATTGGATATATCAAGATTATAAAAGCATACAATTGGCCAATTAACACCACTCTAAAATTACTCGATATACTTATGTCTAAATGCCGGGTGCCCACCTGACAAGTGGCCACACTGGATGACTCTCTTGTATAGTTTAGGAATGATATTTTATATCACAGCTTTGCTGTATAATGTTCTGGTAGCGTTGCTAATTGATTATGTCCTTTACTACTACTACTATCTAGCCTACTGCGTTTGCAGTAGGCTAGATAGGTGTAGCGTAGGTGGAAACGGCATCACACTGGGTGAGTGACCTCCACACTACACTCTTAATTAGATAATGTGATAGGATTTTCCTTGTAGATATTGTCCAGGTACTTCCCCAGTTCTAGTGAGTAATTACTGGTGATAAAGATAATTTAATAAGGTGTCCTAAGCTGAATAATGTTCACAAGGGCTCCATATCACTTGTTCATAGTTTGTAAACACATGCGTTCTGCCTTGTAGAGCTCCCATAGGTCACTTCTTTCGAGTTTGGCCCCTCCCAACTTGGGGAAGGTAGCCTTCAATGTATATTGATTGATTATTTTTACTGTCTAGACATATGATTGAGATAAGATGTGATTATAATATAATTAGATATAGGATATAAAGATTATAAGTAGTTCATTCTAGTACTACTGATTCTTGTTAAGGATTTGATTTATTCCGTACCGGAAATCGATTGAATGTTCCAGTAGTTTTTTAATTAAGATATTCTTCTGGAAGCTTCTAGAACTTTGAGAAATCATGCACAAAGTCACGTAGGCAACCAAGGGCCCTTTGGTGTACGTGATCATAGGCATTGTCATGTAGGATCCAGATGTAGGATTTAATGAATCTGTAGTGATTCTAATATGATTTTTACATTGATTTTGGTATGATTTAGATATGAAATAGAAATAATACATTTCATAGATAATAATATAGATATAGATGGTAAAATTTCTCACAGAAGACAGTGTCATGAAAAAGGAGGAGGGCGCGAGGAAGAGGCAGAGAGGAGAGGTCAGAGAGAGTAGCACAGAGAGTGAATAGGTTCCAGTCAGCTTTGGCAAACTGCCACCTAGGAAAGGAGAGGGGAGGGTGAAAAGAGAAAAAGGAAACAAGGATGGGGAAATGGTCACTGTTATGGAGGTCAGCAAGAACCCACGATGTTAGATCTAAGTAAAGGGACAACGTGCAGAGAGAGAGATCAAGACAGGAAAGGGTGCGAGTTCGAGAGTCCACATGAGTGGGCTCATCAGAATTCAGAAGAGACAGGGAAGAAGTGAGGACAAACGGTTCGAGAAGGCGGTCTCAGAACATCACCCCAGAGGGTATGTCGACAGTTGACAGCACCCAACACGAGCACTGGCTCTGGCAAGGAGTCAAGAAGGTATTTAAGATCAGGAAGGGAAAGAGGGACATTTGGGGGAGATAAATGGAATAGACTGTATACCATTTACTCACAAAAACACAGACAGCAGGACAATAGAGAGGCGATGGAAACAGTAAGGGGACGAAGGGAATATCAGTACGAATCAAGAGAGCAGTAGAGTTATGGGCCCCAGCAAGAGCTGGGGGGGGGGTGGAAAGGAAGATATAATAACCAGGAAAGTGATCAGGACGAGCACCAAGCATCGACTCTTGGAGACAAACACAAAGTGGTGAAGGCTGTGTAGTCAGATGTTGGAGTTCATGGAAGTTGGCATAAAATCCACGAATATTCCATTGAAGAATAGACATTATCAAAAAGAGAAAAGACAGCAACAAAGAAAATGAAGAAACAAAGGGAAAGAAGAACACAGCATATTAAATAAGCTCAAGATCAGACACAGGATCAGGATCAGGATCAGGGTCAGCAAAATCAGGGTTAGG